TCTTCATTCTCCCTTGCTCCTGAAGGGGTGAGACCAGTGGAGTATCTTAGATGACTGCTCACAGGCTTTTAAGACCCCAAATGCTACTAACCAAGGCAGAATGTAGAACATTTTCTTTATAAACTATGTTATGCCAATTGAGCTAGCTGTTTCCCGAGACCATGGTCCCCACAGCCCTTCACCCAGCAATTTCGTCCCTTGGGGAATTTGGATATGTCTATGGAGCTTCCATGACCTTGCCTTGTACAAGTTGTGCTGGCTTCCCCAGAATTGTGTACTGTCTTACCCTTCACCAAAGTTACCACTTATGTATTGTCTATTTAGTGTTCCCCCCACCCCCTCCCCTCCCTCGTAACCATCAAAGATTGTTTCTTTTTGTGTGTAAACCTTTTCATGAGTTTTTACAGTAGTGGTCTCATACAATATTTGTCCTTTTGTGACTGACTTATTTCACTCAGCATAATGTCCTCCAGATGCATTCATGTTATGAGATGCATCTCAGATTCATCATTGTTCTTTATCATTATGTAATACTCCATTGTGTGTATGTACCATAGTTTGTTTATCCATTCATCTGTTGACGGGCATCTAGGTTGTTTCCATCTTTTTGCTACTGTGAACAATGCTGCAGTGAACTGGGTGTGCATATATCTGTTCGTGTGATGGCTCTTATTTCTCTAGGATATATTCCTAGGAGTGGGATTGCTGGATCGTATGGTATTTCTATTTCTAGCTTTCAAAGGAAGCGCCGTATCATTTTCCAAAATGGTTGTATCATTTTGCATTCCCACAGCAGTGCATAAGAGTTCTGATCTCCCTGCAGCCTATCCGACATTTGTTATCTCCAGTTTTTTTTTTATTCGTGCCAGTAATGCCAGGGTGAAATGGCATCTCATTGTGGTTTTGATTTGCATTTCTCTAATAGCTAGTGTTCGCGAGCATTTCCTCATGTGTCTGTTGACCGTTTGAATGTCTTTGGTGAAATGTCTGTTCATTTCCTTTGCCCATTTTTTAATTGGATTATTTGTCTTTTTGTTGTAGAGGTGTTGGATTTTCTTGTAGATTTTAGAGATTAGACCTTTGTCTGACTTGTAATGTCCAAAATTTTTTCCCAGTCTATAGGTTCTCTTTTTACTCTTTTGGAGAAGTCTTTTGATGAGCATAAGTGTTTAAATTTTAGAAGATCCCAGTTATCTAGCTTATCTTCTGGAGTTTCTGTGTTGTTGGTTATGGTTTGTATCCTGTTAATGATGTGTATTAGGGACTCTATGGTATGGGTCCTGTTTCATTTTTTTGCAGATGGACACCCAGTTTTGCCAGCGCCATTTGTTAAAAAGACTGTTTGTTCCCCACTTGATGGACTTTGGGCCCTTGTCGAAGATCAGGTGACCGTAGGTGGATGGATTTACATCTGGGTTCTCAATTCTTTTCCATTGGTCAATGTATGTGTCATTGTACAAGTACCAGGCTGTTCTGACTACTGTAGCTGTATAGTAGGTTCTGAGGTCAAGTAGTACGAGTCCTCCTACTTTATTCTTCTTCTTCAATAGTGCTTTACTTATCTGGGGCTTCTTCCCTTTCCATATGAAGTTAATGATTAGTTTTTCCAACTCTTTAAAGAATATTGTTGGTATTTGGATCGGGATTGCATTGTATTTGTAGATTATTTTAGATAGAATTTTCATTTTCACAATGTTTAGTATACCTGTCCACGATTATGGTATGTTTTTCCATTTATGTAGATCTCTTTTGTTTTCTTGCAGTAGTGTTT